CCCCCCCTCCCGATAAAAAATGAACGGTCCCTTGGCTGCGTCAACGTATTTTGAAATAGGTGTATAATTACCTTTTTACCCCCAACATTCGTTCTTTGTTTTGCAGGAGATGTTTCAGGAAGAGTTGAATGGATGCTATGATAAACATAAAGTGAATAAATGCTTCATTTAACACTGTAATTTAAAAAGACAAATAAACTATCATAATAAATTCCATCGAAGATTTTCTGCACTATAGGGAGAGGGAAATAGACTATCCCGCATAATTATACCAACTAAACAATACTAATAACATTTATCTCTTTTCTCGTTCTTCTCTACTCATAAACACTCGAGTTTTCAACCAATCAGCTTACGAATCGAAAACAATAGAATAGTCCCCTTCACAGTTCCCTGCGCCATCTTGAAAGGTAGCCGTGCCTTTGCATCGATGCGAGACGAACGGTGAGCTTGCAATGATAGAGACATGTGAATAATTGTCCAAGGTGTTAAAAAAAGGTCTTTATCATTGCAAGCTCACCGTTCGTCTCGCTTCAATGCAAAGCCGGAATGGTTACCTTTCAAGATGGCGCAGGGAACTGTGAAGGGGACTATTCTAGTTACGTATCAAAAGTCTATACAAGCTATTCAAGTAGATGGAATGAGAAAATAGAAAGAAGAAATAGAATGATATTTGCACAAATAACAAAATAAAAAGGTTTGACCCTCCGACAAAAGTCAAGTTCGTCTCTGAAGCCCCACCCTCCTCTTCCTCCTAATAAAAACCCGAAGAAGGGCTATTCTAGTGTATTTTTTATGTCTCCTGAATAATGATATTACGAGTAATCTCACCACAATAAATCCATTTATTTGTCATGAACATCTTTTTACATCATGTCAAATTGTAATCATGACGGGATCCCTGTGGTTTTAGTGAGGTATTGAGCCAGCGATATTATAAAATGCGGTAGTACTTCAGAGTATGCGCACTCGATGTTTGTCCGCCATTTTGTCAGGAGTGGTTTGATCAGCAAAAGGCTATTCGTTCAACCATTTCACGTCTCTTCGGCACTTAAAATGCCTCCTAAAAAGAAAGATACTGCGGAGAAGACGCCTTTAATGGGCCGATTCGGTACCTCTTTAAAATGTGGAATTGTTGGAATCCCTAACGTCGGGTAAGAAAAACTAGACGAAGAACGGTATACTATACCTAAGACTAATACTTCATGTACTTATTTATCTGTGTTACCTAAATATAAATTAGTTAATAAAACTTGGATTACCTAGGATATGAAGTATCAATCTGAATATAGTATTCTCACGTGGAAATTTTATTTTTAGAAAATCACTTAAAATCTGTTTATGGTTTTAACAGAAAGTCGACTTTTTTTAATGTATTGACGAAAAGTGCCGCTTCAGCTGAGAATTTCCCGTTTTGTACAATAGGTAAGAAATTGTTTTATCTTGAAAAATTATCAAAATAAAAAATCCAAATTTTTAAATTTAATTTTTAACACAAAAAATTTAAAATCCTGGACTGTGCACAATAAACCTGGGAAAAAAATAATGTTTACGCCATAAACAATAACAAAAATGTGAAATTTAGTACTGTTTAGCTTTAGTTTTGCAATGGTTTATTGTGTAATGATGTGTGGAAAACCTATAAATGTTGTTGTTGAACTAAGCTTTATTCAGAATTGTGCATTTTTACATATAATATTTTTWAAATTATTTTTCAGATCCTAATGAAAATAAGTATTCAATTTTGGTGAAGTACATTTATCTGTATAATCATTTATTGATATTTATGCTAATTCTGTTTTTTTTCCTCTAATGGCTGTTTTTTTTGTTTGTTTTTGTTTTGAGTACAGTGTATTTTACAACCCTCATTATAATATCTTCCATTCATTCAATCATTCATTCAATCATCCATTCACTTGCTCACTCATTATTTTATTTATGAACTAATTCATTCATTCATTTTTGGTCAATCATACCTCCACTCATTTGTTAATTTATTATTTTGAATTCATTTACTTAGTAATTCATTTTTCATCCATCCAGGCATTTCCTTATTTATTTATATTTTTTTATTCATTCAGTCATTCATTAATTTCATCATTCATTCATTTTACTGACTTACACTCATATTTAAATATAATTATGATATTATATCTTATTATTTTCATTTTCTATTTTTACGTCGAGTAGCTGTACCAGATGAAAGATGGGACTTTCTCTGTGAATATTTCAAACCTGCTAGGTATAGTATCAATTTAATAATAATTTAATGTTTTATATACTAGAAATTCCATGGATGGATGTTCAAATGTATCAAGTAGTCTTTATTGTTTACTAATAGTTCATAAGTTCAGGGCTTAAAATAAAGGCTGCTCAATAGCTGGATGTGATGACTGATCAACAGGCAATCAAGAGGCGATTTGACCAGTCAAAGTGACCGACCAGTCATTGTGACCAGTTAAGAGGCCGGCCAAGAAATGTTTAGCCAGACAAGTGACAATTTTGGCCCGATACTGTCTGTTGATCTGCTATAATTTTTAGCCCTGTCAACTGCTGTTTCAGCTTTTTTGTTATAAAAATATAAACAGTGGTAATAGATAATATTTTCCCTTATCTTATTACAGTAAAGTTCCAGCATTTCTAAATGTTGTGGATATTGCAGGATTGGTCAAGGGTGCTCATGAAGGACAGGTATGTAAGAGGTTATCTTATTTGCACAGTTGTAACACCTTTTAAAATAGAGCTAAATGTAGTGGTAGTGCAGGGCTTAAAAAAGGGCCAGTAAGTCGCTGGTCATGATGACCAGCCAAATTAGTTTTAACTCATTTATACCTTAACATTACTAGTCAAAATGACCAGCAAGGCAAAGATTTGACCAGACAAGTTCCAATTCTGGGCAGACATTGTCCGATGTCCAGCAGCTATTTTATGCCTTTGTAGTGGGCGTAAAGTGTATGATATACATAGTTATTAGCCTCCAGCTTGGGAGACTCGGCAACAGTTTAAGGGGTGAAAATGAAAATGGCCTAAGTGACTTTTTGGGATATTTTTTTAAAATAGCCTAAACCAAACAAAAATACAGGCAAACAGCCTCTTTTAGTTTAAATATGAATGTTTAGTATTTATTTTTCATGATTTTGATCGGAAAAGTAGAAAAACACTCCTTAGTTACGAATAGGACATAGGGAACTGTGAAGTACTTCCTGCCGCCTATACTATCGTTAGGAAAGATAGAGACTCACGTGGTGGAGGCGTCTTACTCACCATAGAAACAAGTTCGTTTAGTTCAGTCGGTGAAGTTGACATAACGATTGACATCGAAATATGCTTGGCCGAAATAACAACTTGGTCAAATCTCAAGTTACAAAAAAAGGGGACAAAATGACTTTGTTTCAAACGAACATTTTTTWAAATTAATGTTAACATGCGAGGGACCACTGTAATTGGCACACGCTGTAGTGGTTTCCCAGCCATTATGTATGAATGTAATTATTCTTGTGTGTGCGTGTGTGAGTGGGTTCATGTGTGAGTGTTTGAATGGCAAAGCTAAATAAATAAATAAGATTTATTTATTCATTTATTTTAGTTTTTTGTTTGAAATGTTTAGGGYCTTGGAAATGCCTTTCTCTCACACATCTGGGCCTGTGATGCAATATTTCATTTAGTTCGTAAGTAATATTTACCAAATATTAAGTGAGCATAATAAGTTAATCTGTGTGAGCATTTAGAATAATGAGACACCTGGAAAATCCAACCTAAAGATATACACCAATATTTCAAAAAATGTTGTTGATCTGAGATCTGAGATGGTCAATCTGAGACTGAATGGTAAAAAAAAACGTCTTTTTTTCAYGAGGGTAGCACTTAATAGCCAGTGGCTAACAAACCTGTGGCCCTCATTCCGTGATCGAATTAGAATTTAGGAGTTGATTTTTGCGGAGGGAGGAAAACCGGAGAACCCAGAAAACCCTCRAAGCACAGGAGAGAACCAACAATCAACTCTACTTATATACAACACCGAGCCCAGCAGGACTCGAACTCCGGTCGCATTGATGAGAGGCGAGTGCTCACACCGCTACGCCACCAGTGCTTCCCAAAGTTTTTGTGTATGAATGTTTCCTGGCTAAAAGACAAAAAATCACATATCTAACTCAAAGAGCATGCTTCATATTCCAATATCAAAGTAAACTACATTGTTTGGCATTGAATATATTACATTTTATATCGTGTTACTTGATGTAAGATTTCAGATCGACAACCACATGTATAAATGGAGAACTCATTATTAGTGTGTGACTTGTATTTATAGGTGCATTTGAAGGGGATGATGTTACTCATATTGATGGTGAGGTTGATCCTGTCAGAGATTTGGATACTATTTCAGAGGAGCTCAGAAAAAAGGTACAGTAGCTGTAATTTGTTATGGCCCACTATGAGCATCTCCCAATGGAACATGTGAAATAGAAATGATAAATTATTATTATTGAATTATCACTATGCATTTCTTTTCTGTTCATCAGAGCATTACATTGCTCAAGACAAGTTGCACTTTATGTAAAATAAATATACTCGTATAATTGGCATTCTGAGGTTGAGGAAAAAACTGGGTCGATTTGGGATTGCAGTTCGTTTTTGTGCTGTTTAAGGGGAGATAAAATAATAATAATAATAATGGTATAACAGTGGATTCCACAGAGGCGCTCTTTATTTCCAAGGTGGCATGTATCTTGTCCCTTAAAATAGTCCCAAAATGCGCTGCGAAGCCGACTTTACCCAGCCTCAACCTCAGCTAATACTGTATATATAACAGTAATATTATCTCAGCTGATCATTCTAGAACTACTTATTTGATAACTATCTGCTATTTCTCATTGTAGTAGTACTCATGATTTTTTTTTTGGTTACCTAGGATGAAGAATACCTGAAAGACAAAGTTGTAAGAACAAATGAATACTTGTAATATTGAGTATTTTGACTTATCAAATATGAATAATTAATGAGGAAACATGAGAAATCAGTCTCCCAGGAAAAGCCTGTAAACCAGATACAGAATCATTCTCATTTGCATTCAACTTTAACACAGATTTTCTCTGTTAAACCAAGTAATCTCAAAATTTTAGAAAAACATGAAATCATACTCCTAGACATTTAATAAACAATATGCAATATTCTCGTCCCATCTGTATAGGCTTTATAGTGGCTTGTGAACCTGATTTTTTCGTACTTGACCTTTTGGGTTTTTTCATGTCTCCATATATTTATGTACACTTTTGTTCCACTTTAAACAACTCTGTTTTATATGTGTACTGAATTATGTTATCCAGACAAACATGGAGAAATCATGTCAACGAGGAGGTTCTGCTGCAGACAAAAAGAAAATCCAAGAATTTGTAAGTAATGATGACAGCAACAAATCAACAAATAAAATAACCCTTGTAATATTTCCAACATATGGATCTGAAAGTTATTACTGTATACTATAACCCCCCTTTCCCCCTCACCCCTCTCCCTCTAATCAATGTTGTTGCACCTATACTATAACC